CAAGTTCTTGATTTACAATTTTTAGAGTTTTCGAAGTTTTCATTGTATACTTTTTCGTGTTTGGAATTTTAATTTTTTCAATTTTTCAATTTCTCATCTTCCAAATTTTTCGATTTTTCATTTTTTCAATTTTTCGCTTTGCATTTTTTGATATAACAATTTTTCATTTTTCGATTTTTCATCCCAATGTTTTGATTTTTCAATTTTTCATTTCCTCAAACTTTTAAGTTTTTCATTTTTATTTTTCATTTTCCCGATTTTTTAATTTTCATTTCACCCATTTTATGACCCAAGTTTTCTTTCCTTCATTTCCTTTAATTTTTCAAGGTTTCTTTCGACTTTAGAATTTTTCGTTTATCAAATTTTTCAATTTTTCGTTTCTTTAATTTTTCGATATTACAATTTTTTATTTTTTTGATTGCTTAATCTTTCGATTTTTCGACTTCCCGGATTTAGATTTTCTGTTTTCAATTGTCGTTTTAAATTTGTCGTTTTTTCAATGTTTTGATTTTCCGATTTAGTTCCCCATTTTTAGTTTTTCTTTCAATTTTCAGTTTTTCGATATTTCAGTTTTGGGATTTTTCAATATTTCGATTCTTCGACTTTTCGATTATTGACTCCTGGATTTTTCGAAGTGTCGATTTAGTTACTTTTTCGATTTTTCAAGTTTTCGATTTTTAAATTTTAGATTTTTTAATTTTTAAAATTTTGGATTTTTCGATTTCTCGATTTTTCATTTCAGTTCTTCGATATTTCAATTTTCCCAAGTTTTCGAATTTTTCAAATGTTCCGATTTCTTAATCTTTTGATTATTCGACTTTCCGGTTTTAGATTTTCTGCTTTTCAATTGCCATTTTGTCAAATTTTCGATTTTCTAATTTTTCAAATTTGACTTTTATAAACTCTCAATTTTTCGATTTTTCAAATAATCGATGTTTTGATTTTCCCATTTCTTGACCTTCGAGTGTTTCGATTTTCTTGTTCTTCAATTCTTTAATTTTTTGATTTTTTAGTTCATTTATTTTTCAATTTTTCGATTTTTAAGGTTTCTATTTTTCGACTTCACTTTTTCGATTTTTCAATTTTTGGGTTTTTAAATTTTAGATTTTTCAATCTTTTGATATTTTAATTTTTCAATATTTCTTAATTTTTCAATTTTTCGACTTTCTAGTTTTGGATGTTCTGTTTTTCAATTTTTCGATTTGTTAATTTTTCATTCCCGATTTATCGAAATTTGATTGTTCAGGTTTTCGATTTATCAGTTTTTCAATTTTTTATTTTGGGCTATTTCGGTTTCTCAGTTTTTCCAGTTTTCCATTTTTTCGTTTTTTGATTTTTCCGCTTTTCCAATTTTTCAACTTTTAACTTTTTGTTTGTCGATTTCCCTATTTTTCGATTTTTCGACTTCATCACTTTTCGGTTTTTCGTTCTTTTGATCTTTCAATCTCAATTTTTCAATTTTTCATATTTGTAAGTTTTTTGATTTCTCGATTTATCGAGATTCGGATTTTTCGATACTTTGATTGTCAATTTCTCAATTTATAAATTGTTCAATTTTTAACTTTTCGATTTTTAGATTTTGGCCTATTTCGGTTTCTCAATTGTTCGACTTTTCGACTCCGCAATTTCTTGATCTTTTTTTTTGATTTTCCAGTTTTTCGATGTTTCGATTTTTCAGTTATTCGATTTTTTAAATTTGGGAGTTTCAATTTCTCGATTTTTCGTTATTCGTTCGACTTTGCTATTTTTGAGTCTTTCAGTTTTGATGTTTTAGTTTTGGAATTTTTCAAGATATCTGAGTTCTTCGATTTTACGATTCTTTAATTTTTCGATATTTTAATTTCCGGTTTTTTAAATTTTGGATTAGATGTTTCGATTTTTCAGTTCTTCGGTTTTTCAATTTGTGAAATTTTTAAATTTTAGTATTCTCAAATTTTCGATATTAAAGTTTTGGAATTTTTCAGTCTTGATTCAATTTCTCGATCTTTCAGTTTTACGATTTTTCAATTTTTTAAATTTTCGATTTCTCGATTTTTTTGTTTTTCGATCTTAATTTTCCGATGTTCTTAAATTTTCGACTTTTTGTTTTCTCAATTTTTCAATTTCTCGATTTTTAGATGTTTCAGTTTCAGGATTGCATGTCGATAAATCGAGAAATCAAAACAATTAAAAAATCGAAAAATCGCAGAACTGAAAATTCGAGAAATTAAAAAAATAAAATGTCAAAAAATTGTAGAATCGCAAAATTGAAAAGTTCTTCGATTTTTTTGCTTCTTCGATTTTTCTATTTCTCTATTTTTCAGTTTTTGTATTTCCCGATTTTCAATTCTTCAATATTTTAGTATTGGGGTTTTTCAGTTTTTCGATTTTTAAAATTTCTAAATTTTTCAATTTTTGGTATTTCTAATTACGATTTATCAAATTTCCGATTTTTCGTGTTTATGATTTTCTCTTTCCTAAATTTTTCGAATTTTCGATGTTTCGCGTTGTGGTTTTTCAATTTTTTGGTTTTTTAAAGTTTGGAATTTTCGATTTCCCAATTTTTAATTTTTTCGATTTCTCAGTTTTTAGATGTTTCAGTTTCAGAATTGAAACATCGGAATGTCGACTAATCGAGAAATCAAAACATATTAAAATTGAAAAATCGAAACATTGAAAAATTAAAAAATTGAAATATTGCGAAATTAAAAATTGAAAAATCAAAAATTTTGGACGTTGTAAAACTCGAAAAATTTAAAACTGAGAGATTAGTCGAAAAATGGAAAGGACGAAAAATCGAAACATAAAATTTCAAAATCTAAAATTTAAAAATTTCAAAAATTGAAAAGTCGCAAAACTGAAAAATCCAGAAATCGTAAATATAAACATGGAAAAATTGAAGAATCGCAAAACTGAAAAATTCTTCGATTCTTTAGTTCTTCGGTTTTTCATTTTTTCGAATTTTTAAATTTCAGATTTCTCAATTTTTCGATATTTCAGTTTTGGTATTTTCCAGCTTTTTGATTCATTAGTTTTTTGTTTTTTGGGATTTCTCAAATTTTCGGTTTTTAAAATTTCTCGATTTTTCTACTTTCCGATTTTTCATATATTATTTGATTTTCCCATTCCTAAATTTTTCGAATTTTCGATCTTTCGATTTCTCAATTTTTAGAATTTTTAGTTTCAAAATTGAAACATCGGAATGTCGATAAATCGAGAAATCAAAATATTTCAAAAATCGAAACATTGAAAAATAAAAAAAAATGAAAAACTGAAAAATCAAAAATTTTAAAATTAAAAAATCGCCAAATGTAAACGACGAAAAATTGAAACCTCAAAAAATTGAAAAATAGAAAAAATAAAATATCGAAAAATTGAAGAATCGCAAAATTGAAAAATTCTTCAATTTTTCGTTTTTCAGTTGTTCGATTTTTCACTTTTTCGAATTTTTAAATTCCAGATTTCTCAATCTCTCAGTCTGTCGATATTTCCTTTTTTTGATTCATGAGTTTTTCGATTTTCCAATTTCCTCTATTTTTCAAATTTTCAATTTCTCTATTTTTCAGTTTTTCAATTTCTCGATTTTCAATTTTTCAATATATATAGTTTTGGGATTTTTCAATTTTAAAAATTTTCTATTTCTAGATTTTTTTATTTTTGATTTCTCAATTTTCGGATTTCTCAATTTTTCGATATTTCAGTTTTAGGATTTCTAAATTTTTAAATGTTTGTCATTTCTAAATTTTCGGTTTTTCGATTTTCCGATTTTTTGAATTTCCAATACCTACTTTTAGAATTTTCGATCTTTCGATTTTTCAGCTTTTGGTTTTCCAATTATCCGTTTTTCAAAGTTTCCACTTTTCGATTTCTCAATTTTCAGATGTTTAAGTTTTAGGATTGAAACATCGGAATGCCAATAAATCGAGAAATCAAAAGATTTCAAAAATCGAAAAATTGAAAAATCAAAAATTTAGAAAATTGGAAAATCGAAAAATCTAAAACCAAGAGAGGTCGAAAAATCGAAACATCAAAAAATTGAAAAATCTAAAATTTAAAGATTACAAAAATTGAAAAATCGCAGACCTGAAAAATCGGGAAATCGAAAAAATATTTTATCGAAAAATTGTAGAATCCCAAAATTCCAGAATTCTTCCATTATTCAGATTTTCGGTTTTTCAGTTTTTTGATTTTTCAATTTTTTAATTTCTCGTTTTTCAGTTTTTCAATATTTTAGTCTTTGGATTTTTAAAATTTTCGATTTCTCGATTTTTTTTATTTTTCGACTTATCAATTTTTTTATTTTTAAATCTTTTAATTTTTGGCATTTCTAAATTTTAGATTTTTGAATTTTACATTTTTTCCGATTTTCTGATGTTTCATTTTTCAATTTTCAGTTCTTCGATATTTCGATTTTTCAATGTTTCGGTTTTACGATTTTTCGATTATTAGATTTCTCGATTTTTCGAATTTTGGATTATTTTAATTTTTCATTTTTTTTCTCACTATTAATATCTTACAGTGTATCGACAACAGCCACAGAAATTGTCATTAAAAACATTTAAAAAATCATACAAAATAGAACACAGTGTTTCCAAAACATTTTCCCGAAAAAAATCCATTGGGTTTTACGATTTCTACAATATTGTTAGTTAAGGACGTTTTACTAGTATAAAACACAAATAAAGAATTATTTCTTAGTTAAACAAAATATGTAAAACCATGTAAATATGTACCAAAAATATTCACTTAGTCGTTATAAAAAACGACCAAACAACTATTTGCCGCAGAAATTGTAGTCCAAACCAACCAAATCGGTTCTGAACGCTTAGAGTCGACATTGGCTTGAGCGCGCTCTGGCCTGTAGATCAAACAAGTTCTCAGGCGTCGAGTTGTACTGAAGCTAGTTTTTTTATTGGCATCGAGTATTTAAATTTGGCGCTTGAGGACTCCAATGTCAATAAGGATGGTTTTGCAAAATCAGCCTGTATGTCGCATCTATATTAATCTATGTTCATACTTACGTGTCTGCCGAGGACGCTGCTGCAGGATGTGACGAATACGAAGAGGATCAGCGGCGACCTGCAACGAAACCAAGGGTCAGAATAAAGCACCTCATATCCACGTATCCTCCTATAATGCCGTGATTTAATGAGACATTTAATTATCGGGACTGTTAACGTAACAAGTTGGAAACCGAGTAATTGATGGCTTGTATCTCCAGAGGGATAATTAATAGGCGAGCTCGTATGCGACTCACGCACGAAGAAATTTGAATTTTAGTTGAGTAGTAAAGTGTACGTCGGCACCTGGACTCAACATTCTTAATTGGGGACAAAGGCAGGTGTAATTAGTTTTGACAAGAGGACGAATTTATCGCACCCGATGATTAAATTCCTAGGCACTAGGTGCGATCGATATTTCGGCTCCTCGGCTTCCAAATGGGGCACAACGCCGGTCCAATTTATACGCACTATCTGTCTTAATCGTATGAATAAACAAAATCTTTAATCTCGACCGGTTTGTGGGTGAAGAGCTCGGCAGGACGTCGAAGGAAAAAGGTTTTCGTTTTTGGTTGGGCGTTAACGAGCTTGAGTTTATTTATACGTATTTTTTACTTACTTTTTATGAATATCGTAATTGTTAATCAAAATGTATATTCATTTATTCCTCCCAAAAATTAATGACATTTCAAAATTTTGGCGAATAAAACTTCTCTGAACTATGCAAAATATTATGACTCTATATTTGTGATTTATCAGTGCATTAATAGTTTTATAGAATTACTTATACAGGGCGACTCAAAAAAAATTAATGAATGAGCCAGTTCATTGTATTGATTAAATCATTGTATTGAACAACTCACACCATTTTCCCCAAAAATTTGGGAATACAGTCCTGTTATTATTAGTATTATAATGCATCCAAATTTCCAAATTGATATAGTTATCCTTTTTTGATATCACAATTTTTCGTTTTTTCATTTTCTTTAATTTTCCAATTTTTACATTTTTCGTTGTTTCTGTTTCATAATTTTTCGTTTTGCAAATTCATTTTTTCAGTTTTTCAATTTCTCATCCAAATTTTTCAATTTTACATTTCTTCAATTTTTCGATTTGCAATTTTTTAATTTTGCAATTTTTCAACATGACAATTTTTCATTTTTCGATTTTTCAATTTTTCATTTTCTCGATTTTATATCACAATTTTTCTTTCCTTCATTTCCTTTATTTTTTCAAGGCTTTTTTTGATTTTATCATTTTTCGTTTATTCAGTTTTTCAAATTTTCAATCTCTCATTTTTCAGTTCCTCAATTATCCATTTTTAAAATTGTTCAGTTTTGCAATTTTTGAATTGCCCAATTATCCGATTTTCCGATTTCTTTTATTTTCAATATTTCGTTTTTAAAATATTTCATTTTTTCGATTTTTAATTTCTTCAATTTTTCAGTTTTTCATTTCTTCATTTCTTCTCTTTTTCGTGTCTTCAATTTTTCAAACTCTTGAAATACAATTTTAGATTATTAAGTTTTCATTTTATATTTTTTCGTTTTTTCATTTTTGGTTCTTCAATTTTATAATTTTGCAGTTTTTCCATTTCCATGGTCTGGTTCGGTTTCATAATTTTTCGTTTTTGCAACTCTGTTTTTTTCAATTTTTCAATTTCTCATCCAAATTTTTCAATTTTTCGTTTCTTCAATTTTTCGATTTTTCATCCTAATGTCTCAATTTTTCATTTTTTTCGTTTCCTCAGTTTTTCAAGTTTTTAATTTTTGTTTTTCATTTTCCCGATTTTTTAATTTTCATTTCCTCGAGATTTTGTATCACAATTTTTCTTTTCTTCATTCCCTTTATTTATTCAAGGTCTCTTAGGATTTTATAATTTTTCAGTTTTGCAATTTTTGGATTTTCCAATTATCGAATTTTCCTATTTATTTCATTTTCTTTATTTCGTTTTTACATTGTTTAATTTTTCCGATTTTACGGTTTTTCGATTTTTAATTTCTCAATTTATCAGTTTTTCATTTTTTCAATTTCTCACTTTTTCATATCTTCAATTTTTCGAGTTCTTGATTTACAGCTTTTAGATTTTTCTAAATTTTCATTTTATACTTTTTCATTTTTTCATTTTTGGTTTTTCAATTTTGCAATTTTCCGATATTACAATTTTTCATGTTTCGATTTTTCATCCAAATGTTTCAATTTTTTAATTTTTCGTTTCCTCAATCTTCTAAGTTCTTAATTTTTATCTTTCATTTTCCCGATTCCTTAATTTTCATTATCTCCATTTTATATCACAATTTTTCTTTTCTCCATTTCCTCTATTTTTTCAAGATTTCTCTGGGTTTTATAATTTTTCGTTTATTCAATTTTTCTAATTTTCAATCTTTGATTTTTCAGTTCCTTGATTTTGCGTTTTTAAAATCTTTCAGTTTTGCAATTTTTGGATTTCCCAATTATCCGATTTTCCGATTTCTTTCATTTTCAATATTTCGTTTTTAGAATATTTCATTTTTTCGATTTTGCAGTTTTTCGATTTTCTATTTCTCAATTTTTAATCTTCCAATTTTTCGATTTTTCATTTCTTCAGTTTTACTCTTTTTTCTCTTCAAATTTTCAAAATTTTTAAATTTTTCGAAATTTTTATTTTATACTATTTTGTTTTTCCATTTTGGTTTTTCTATTTTACAATTTCGCAATTTTTCCATTTTTCAGTTTCAGTTTCATTATTTTTCGTTTTTGGAATTTTAATTTTTTTCAATTTTTCAATTGCTCATATTTTTCATTTTTCGATTTTTCTCCATTTTCAATTTTTCTTATCTTCATGTCCTTTATTTTTTCAAGGTTTTTTCGATTGTATAATTTTTCGTTTAATCAATTTTTCAAATTTTCAATTTTTGATTTTTTAGTTCGTCGATTTTTCATTTTTAAAGTTTTTCAATTTTGCAATTTTTGTATTTCCCTATTATCCGACTTTCCGATTTGTTTCATTCTCAATATTTCATTTTTACAATATAGCATTTTTTCGATTTTTCAATTTCTCATCTTTCAAATTTTTCAATTTTTCGATTTACAATTTTTTAGTTTTCCTATTTTTCGATATTACATTTTTTCATTTTTCGAATTTTCATTTTCATTTCCTCCAGATTTTGTATCAGAATTTTTCTTTTCTTCATTCCCTTTATTTATTCAAGGTTTCTTAGGATTTTATAATTTTTCATTTATTCAATTTTTGTAAATCTTTAATCTTTGATTTTTCAGTTACTCGATTTTTCATTTTTCAAATTTTTCAGTTTTGCAATTTTTGGATTTTCCAATTATCCGATTTTCCTATTTATTTCATTTCTACATTGTTTAATTATTCCGATTTTGCAGTTTTTCGATTTTTAATTTCTCAATTTTTAATCTTTCAATTTTTCAGTTTTTCATTTTTTCAATTTGTCACTTTTTCATATCTTTAATTTTTCAAGTTCTTGATTTACAACTTTTAGATTTTTCTAAATTTTCATTTTATACTTTTTCCTTTCTTCATTTTTGGTTTTTCAATTTTGCAATTTTTCCATTTTTCACTGTTTCGCTCTCACAATTTTCAATTTCTCATCTTCTAAATTTTTCAATTTTTCGTTTCCTCAATCTTCAAAGTTCTTAATTTTTATTTTTCATTTTCCCGATTTCTTAATTTTCATTATCAGTCAATCAAATTCATTTTATATCACAATTTTTCTTTTCTTCATTTCCTCTATTTTTTCAAGATTTCTCTGGGTTTTATAATTTTTCGTTTATTCAATTTTTCAAATTTTCAATCTTTGATTTTTCAGTTCCTTGATTTTGCATTTTTAAAATCTTTCAGTTTTGCAATTTTTGGATTTCCCAATTATCCGATTTCCCGATTTCTTTCATTTTCAATATTTCGTTTTTACAATATTTCATTTTTTCGATTTTGCAGTTTTTCGATTTACTATTTCTCAATTTTTAATCTTCCAATTTTTCGATTTTTCATTTCTTCAATTTTATTCTTTTTTATTTCTTCAAATTTTCAAAATTTTTAAATTTTTCGAAATTTTCATTTTATACTTTTTGGTTTTTCCATTTTACAATTTTGCAATTTTTCCATTTTTGGAATTTTAATTTTTTTAATTTTTCAATTTCACATATTTTTCATTTTTCGATTTTTCATCCCAATGTTTCCATTTTTCAATTTTTCGCTTCCTCAATTTGTTAAGTTCGTAATTTTTATTTTTCATTTTCCCGATTTTTTAATTTTCATTTTCTCCATTTATATCACAATTTTTCTTCTCTTCATGCCTTTATTTTTTCAAGGTTTTTTCGATTGTATAATTTTTTGTTTAGTTAATTTTTCAAATTTTCAATTTTTGATTTTTTAGTTCCTCGATTTTTCATTTTTAAAATTTTTCAATTTTGCTATTTTTGTATTTCCCAATTATCCGACTTTCCGATTTGTTTCATTCTCAATATTTCGTTTTTACAATATATCATTTTTTCGATGTTTCAGTTTCTCATCTTCCAAATTTTTCAATTTTTCGATTTACAGTTTTTTAGTTTTGCTGTTTTTTGATATTACATTTTTTCATTTTTCGATTTTTCATCCCAGTGTTTCGATTTTTCAATTTTTCGTTTCCTGAGTTTTTCAAGTTCGTAATTTTTATTTTTAATTTTTCTGATTTTAATTTTCTTTTCTTCATTTCCTTTATTTTTTCAAGGTTTCTTTGGATTTTATAATTTTTCGTTTATTCAATTTCTCAAATTTTCAATCTTTGATTTTTCAGTTCCTCGACTTTTTATTTTTAAAATTTTTCAGTTCTACAAATTTTGAATTTCCCAATTATCCGATTTTCCGATTTCTTTCATTTTCAACGTTTCATTTTTTCGATTTTGCAATTTTTCTTTTTCGTATCTTCAATTTCTCAAGTCCTTGATTTACAATTCTTAAATTTTTCGAAATTTTCATTTAAAATTTTTTCATTTTTTCATTTTAGGTTTTTCAATTTTACAATTTTGCAGTTTTTCCATTTTTCACTGTTTCGGTTTCATAATTTTTCGTTTTTGGAAGTTTCATTTTTC